AAATGAACTTTTGATTGTGCACGGAAATATGTGTTTAAGGCTGTAGAATCCTCTGTTGGATTAGACCAAATGTATTGATATGGGTGCAATGACTAGAGACTCTGGATTGAATGACTAGAGATTCTGGATTGAATTTGTTTAATTACTTGAGAGAGACTCTATTGGTTTCTTTGGTTAGTTGACTCACAGTGGCCATACTAAGTGAGGTTGAGTTACCATAGCTTCCTTGGTGTGCGGTCCCAGAAGAAATTCAAAGGTTTATGGAAGTAGGGTGCCTACTCCCATACCTGCTCCCTTGCTGCATCTACATTCACTTCTTTGCCAAAAGACTGAAAAACTCCTAAGTGAGGAAGGCACCAGCATCCCAGAAACCCTGCTGAGGCACTTTCCTGCTGAGCAGGCATGGTACTGGGTTATGCCACCATTGAAAGTGGCTCCTGGAATCCAAAGAGATGGTGGACCCTGGACGGGATGGCAGAGCCCAGGCAGTAGCACTGGACCTTCAGACCAGGTGGGTTGGTTCCTTTCATGGGCAGCAGGGCTGATGGTGTGACCTGCAGATCTATCTAGCTATGGCTAACTGATCACGGAGTTCTTAGGACTGAAATAGAGGGGGAATACATTGCAGTTGTAATTGATTTGCGTAGGTGAAAAATCTCCAAGTGGATAGAGACTGGACTTACCACAATAAAGAGACCTGAGCTCTCAATCCATTTCAGGGAGTCAGTTCCCAGAACCTGCAGCCCTGAATGAAGGGAAGTCCAAGTCCGTTTGAGGAAAGACTGCCAAGCCGTTGTACTGCAGATCTCCCTTTTAGCCTCTGTAAAGTACTTGCAGAGATTGGCAGCTATGAGTGGTGGACAAAGGGCTCCCGGACGCTGGCTCTGGGCCGATGCCAAGTCGTTGGAGTCCCAGTGCCCGCCACGGCCCCTGTCACAATGTGGGGATAATGTGGGTTGGGGGACAGCTGCCTTTGTCTTGGACTCATCCCACACTTGCCTCAGGGCCCCACCTTGGGGCTCTTTATCTCCCCTCTGAGTACAGAGCTGAACAGATACGTGTCCTACTGGTGGAACCTCCATGTTGGTGTCTGGACCCCTGCATTCAGGCCCATTATGGTTGGGTGACTGGACATCCTAGAATGGCTTTTCCTTTGGAAAATGGAAAACCAAAAGCCACGCTGTAGAAAAGACTTGAAAGATGTGGAGGAGGTAATTTTTATTACATTTCTTTCGATTGCCTCTTGGCTCAGGCAGAAAGCAAATAAATTATTAGCAATGGGAGTGCTCTACTGTAAATATCAACAGATGGAACTCCAGTTCCAGCTCTTGTCCCAGATGTGCCCTGTATCCCAGAGCAAATCAAAAACATCCCTGATACCTGGCAAACAGCTACGAAACTGGTCAGTGGTTCTTTCTCCTGCAGTTTCTAGCTGTTAGCACACATCGCCAGAAGTAGACTGCCTCCAAATGGCAATAGTATACCTTTGTGTTCCGGCACCGAGGCCAGAACATACTCATTCTTGAGGAAAAAGGCCTTGCTTACACAGGATGGAACGTCCTGTTTCAGTATTAAGCATAACACATGTTGGTAAATGGACAACCTGGCGTAACAGGAAAAAAAGCTTCAGCTCTGTGTTAGGAACCCCTTATTCCGCTAACATGGAATGAAGTCCCCATGGTCTGCTGAGTAAACTGTCAGAGCCAATTTCTGTGAATGGGACTTCCCGCCCTGAGCTGCTGTTCAAAGTAGAAGATCTGGAAGGTTCCTTTCTACTCAAAGTGTCCACACCATTTTTCCCAATGTAAGATGTCAACTTTATTTCTAACAGTTAAGTTCAAAATCACCTCCAGGCAGGATCTGCCATGAGTTCTTAATCATAGTAAAAGCTACTATAGGTGACTGAAACATGTAAAAGGACTAATTTAAATTTAAAAAGGAAGCTCTGTGAAAGGTGTTAGTGACTTTTTTTCCAATTAGGACAATTTTTATCAATGGTTTTCATAGCACTTAAGAACTTAAGACTGTAACTTAGACTAGAAGTAATTTTCTATTACAACATCTTACTTTCACCTTTGAGACGTCTTTTTAAAATTTCCCACTGAACAGTAGAAAAATGACATTCTGTAAAGCTTCTTGTTCTGAGATGCCCTGGGGTGATTAAAGGCGGAACGCACCAGCCTTGCTGTGGCCCTGCCAGGCTGTTGTTCTGTGCCCTGCCTGTGGGGGCGCTGGAGAGCAGCCCACCTCCCCGAGCTCCTCACTCTGGATCAGTGGTGGCATCACAGACCAGGCAGAGGGACAGAGGAACCTGCAGCTCCTGCTGCCCGCCCCCCAGACATCCCAATCTGTGTCTGCGCAGGGATGTCACACTGAGTGACAGCCGTCGCTGATCTCCCTTTTCTCCTGAGAGAGACATGTCTCAGAATTTGCCCAGTGAACATACGGGCAGCTTACTCTGCTGTAGCCGCTACAGTATTACATGCCAATGTGGATGAAAATGCACCGATGTATTTAAAAGGGGAAATATATGTTACTGTATATGCATTTATGTGTATTAAGATGTTTTAACAACCTAGAGTAGTAAAATTTTCCAAAGCAGTAGAGTGAGTAAGATTCACTTTGTGGAGGTAAATCTAATTTTTAGATTAAAAAGGATTCTTTGCATTGAGTAGAACTGACATTTTTTTTTTTTTACAATTAATCGAAGCCAGAATTTACTCTGAAAAATGAGGAAGTGAAACCATATGATTTATAAGTCTTGTAGAATTTTAACATTTTAATGAACTTCATGCATCTGAAAAATTGAGATTATATGTCTCATTAGCATTTCTCTAATAATTTATTTTGCATCACATAAGAATGTAGACATATGATATGATCAGTTTGGTTCAAAAAGTATATTTGTATAAGTCCAATATTGTAATAGCTCCATTTATAAGATTTACATATAATTTACTAGATTTTTTTTTGAGATGAAGTCTCATTCTATTGCCCAGACCGTAGTGTAGGGGCCATAATAGCCCATTGCAGCCTCAAACTCCTTGGTTCAAGTGGTCCTCCCACCTCAGCCTCCTGAGTAGCTGGGACTACAGGTATGCACTACCATGCCTGACTACATTTTGTTTTTATTTTTTGTAGAGACAGGTCTTGCTATGTTGTCCAGGCTGGACTTGAACCTCTGGCCTCAAGTGATCCTCCTGTCTAGGCCTCCCAAAGTGCTTGGATTATAGTTGTGAGCAATTAGTGCAAACATTTGTTGTGGCCAAGCGTGGTGGCTCACACCTGTAACCCCAGCACTTTGAGAGGTCAGGGTGGGCAGATCACCTGAGGTCAGGAGTTCAAGACCAGCCTGGCCAACATGGCGAAACCCCATCTCTACTTAAAAAAAAAATACAAAAATTAACCAGGCATGGTGGTGAGCGTCTATAATCCCAGCTCCTCGGGAGGCTGAGGCAGGGAGAATTGCTTGAACCCGGGAGGTGGAGGTCACAGTGAGCTGAGATCTCACCACTGCACTCCAGACTGGGCAACAGAGTGCGACTCTGTCTCAAAAACAAAACAACAACAACAACAACCACAACAAAAAAACTGTTGCTCACAAGCATTTTACTCTCTCTGGGCTAGGATAGAAGTCATGAAGGCATGTCTTGCCTCTCTTTCAATTGTGATGTGTTTTCCCATAATAAGCAAAAGGGTAACAGCACTTCATCTACTCGAGACTTTCAGGTCTTGGAGGCCAAGAAATATGCTGATCCTTGTTGCTGTGACTCTTTCCTCCGCCCAGCGCATATCAGAGGTCGATAACTACACATCTTGAAGAAGACACAGATGAATTTGGAGTGAGCGTGTAGGAAGCGATTCCCTGTTTAGTTACAGACGGCTGCATGTGCCTGCCTTGGGTTCACGGAAATTTACTGCTATGCAGATGGGGTGACTTTCGGGTACTAGGGCTGTTGGCCCTTCCTTGGAACTAAAAGTTGGCTAATTGAAAAGATAAACACTGAAGAAAAAATGAGCGCATGCCTGTTACTCTTCATGGGACAAGTTAAATTACCAGCCTGCTTGCCTTTTGCTGCAACTCACAGAATTAACCTCCCGTGAGGGCTCTGCTGGCTGCCTGGGGCCCCAGACGTGCGTCCTGGACTCAGCTCCGCTGCCTCTCTCCCTGACCCTGTGTCCCCCAGCTCACTTATCGGCAGAGGGATGCTCTGCCAGGCATCTCACCCGCTTTGTCCTCCACCTCATCTCTCAGCTGTAATACCATCTCCACCTCTGCCCCTACCCTGCAGGCACCGGACTGACCATGTGTCCCTACCGCATGCTTCCTGGCATCAGCCCCACGGTGAGGCTGCACTTGGCTTCTCTCTTCCCAACAGCCAGAATGAGTACCTCGGGGACAGACGTCTGTTTCATCCGCCTTTTAAGCTGACGTGACACTGGAGAAAGCTCATCTCCACGGAAGGCATCCTGCACTGAATGCGTCCTGACCCCCACCATCTTATGTGATCCTCAGAGGTCTCACCTGACATCCTCCACGGCACACATTCTAATGCACGCGTGCTGCTGCCAGCCAATGGGAAGCAAAGGTGTGAAGGCCCTGCAGGTTCCAGTGCCCGGGCGGTACAGGGAGACCCTGCAAAGCCCTGACACCTCCTGTGCTCAGCACGATGACGACCCTTCAGGAATCCCGGGTGCGTCGCCTGCTCCCTGAGTTCCAGTGCCCTTGTGATCAACATGGGCTTCATCAAGTGTACTTTACAGCATTTGTGAGGATCCCTGACGGGAACGCTTGTGAAGTGACCCGGTCAGCATGCAACGGTCAACAGTGGGCACTTTGTTAAGGTCCTTTCGTAACACAAGTTACTAAACCTTTTAAGCTTCCTTTCCAATTCTAAGACTGCATCTATGGATAGACTCAGTTAAATACAAATTACAGAGACAAATAATTCAAATACAAGAATAATAAACAGAACAAATATAAAATGTAATTCACTTACCACTTCTTCATGAGTTGCATTTTCTACATTTATGCCATTAACCTGAACAGATGACAAAGTAAGAATGTTGAGAATAATAATTAACACAAGTTAAAAATAAAAATGCAATCAAGTTAAGGATTAACATGTACAATACTGACCTGGAGAACAGCATCGCCTACGAACAACATCCCTGTCTGGTCCGCTGCAGGGTGGCAAAAGTGGCAACAGTGTTAAGAGAAATCTCAGCGACATTATGCTTTGTTATGACAGTCATTTAAGCACAGTGCTTGCAGCAGCTGAAGTGGCCACGTGTGTGTGTGTGTGTGTGTGCACGCGCGCCCGTGTCCACGTGAGTAGATGTGTGTTTGTGTGTGCAGGTGCAGATGGGTGTGCATGCGTGGGTGTGGGTGGCATGCATGGGTACTTGCGAGTCTGAGTCTGTGAATCTGTTATGTGTGTGCCTGTGTGTGCCTGTGTGTACACATGGATGTGTGTGTGCATGTGTCCACGGGGGTGTGGGAAAGGTCAACACATAGCAACAGGCGGCTGCTTCATACGGAAAGCTAGATTGATTTACGTGCATTAAGAGAGTTGCTTTCCAGTCACAGAAGACTTGTTTAATGTGGAAAACAAATGTCACTTCCTCCTAATAAAGGGTTTCATTACAGGATATGGAAAGTCTGATGCACATTTTTCATTAAATGTGCAACAAACAAGAAATTCCCAAAGTCACTTAGCATTTTCCCTCATTCCCACAAACAAACATACACAGACGGCTCTAATCAAAATGACTGTACCTAGAATATTAAACGCAACAAATTGAAAAACTTTGTATGAGAAAGTTTGGCTATAATCTATGCAGCATGTTTTCACTTAACCTTTCCATCGTCAGAGAGAGCCCCATTAAATAAGATCGAACAACTCTGCACAAAAGCTAAGGCTTTTTGCCCCAGTTTTTGCCTTCATATAGGTTTGTTTCAATTTTAAGTCTTTGTTTAAATAGTGGAAAACAAGCAGTAACCTGTTCTTCGAAAGTGGGAACGCTCTTGACAAACTATATACAGATTAAACGTCAATTCTAAATATTACTTCTAGTGTTTAGCAAATATCAAATCGTGTGAAAACTAGAGTTTTCAGATCACTGTACGTAATTGTACCGATTCTGTACAGCAATGGTACTGATGCTAAGTGATCCAAGTAAAGTTCTCATTTGCACCAACTGTCCAAGGCAAAGCTGCCGTGGACCATGCAGTGGTGGCAGCTCTTCTCCCCTGCGCCGTCTCCCTGTGTTCAAACTGCCCCCTCTCTGTCTCTCACTGTCTCTGTGTCTCTCTGTCTCTGTCTCTCCGCTCTGCGCATGCTGCTCTTCCCCTCTCTAGCCACACCAGGGTGGGTTGCATCCTGAAAACATTTATTGATTATCTGAAATAATGGACTCTGGGCTGGGGCCTCAGAAGCATTGCAATCCTAAAATTTAAGGGAATCAAAGATTAACATAAAAAAGTACACACAGAATCTGGATTCCATGTGAAATTACACATGTGGTAGTGATTATATAGATCATATAATATGGATGCTATAAAAGTGCAGAAAATTGCATATGACAAAAAACAAGGTCCAAATCAATTAATCATCAGAATTCTCAATGTTTAGTTTAAGAAGCACCAACTTTATTAAACACCTGCCTGGCGCATCAGAAACCTAGCTTCAGCTTGTCTAACAGGATAGAGATAAGGTTGTTCTTATCAGAGTATTTTACCCCATGGTCTGAATGGACCTACAGAAAATAAAAATCTCTGTGCATTTAGATGCACTGATTTTTACAAAACAAACTTTAGCTACTTATGGAAAGTGTCGTCATCGAGCAAGTCCAGTGCAGGAGATGATGTTTTTGTTTTTTTGTTTTGTTTTGTTTTGTTTTGAGATGGAGTCTCGCTCTTGTCGCCCAGTCTGGAGTGCAATGGCGCAATCCTGGCTCACTGCGACCTCTGCCTCCTGGGTTCGAGTGATTCTTTTGCCTCAGCCTCCCGAGTAGCTGGGATTACAGATGTGCACCACCACACCCTGCTAATTTTTTTGTATTTTTAGTAGAGACAGGGTTTTGCCATGTTGGCCAGGCTGGTCTTGAATTCCTAACCTCAGGTGATCTGCCCACCTCGGCCTCCCAGAGTGCTGGGATTACAGGTGTGAGCCACCGCGTCCGGCCGAGGTAATGTGTTTTTAAAATGATATGCATGGTAATCCCTCACAGTAAATGACTTAATCTCTTTGTTTGATGAAGGTCAGTGAAGACGCATCTGACTCTTCTAACCTAAAGCAGAAAGCAGCATTTTGTTTTGTCAACAAGCCACATGTGCGTCTGAGATCCCACAGAACAGCAGACAAAAATGACTGTCCAGATCCAGGCACCAAAATGCATAACCAAATTCCCTGAAAATAGTGGTATCTAGAGTTTTCAGAATGGAGCTGCCATTTCCTGTCTGGAACGAATGCAGTGAGGTCTATTTTGCTCTAGAATTGGTCAGAAGCCACCTCCAGACGGCAGAAAAACTCACATGGGACAGTGCTGAGCCTGTGGGTCAGCAGTCTCCCTGGACTCGGGCTTTTCTGCAGGACCTGGGGTTTAATGAGATGACGATGAATTGCAGCCCAGCATCTGTCTGCGAGCCAGGCCTCCTCACCCGGCACGCCCACGGGGAGCATAGCAGTGCTTACTTGGAGGGAAGTCCACCTCATTAAAACATTTCACAGACCCCGAAGAGCATCCTGGACACCTGAGTCAATACGTCTTCCGTTTTGATTTGAGCTCTGAAGCCACCCAGGGACCTCCATCTGGGAGAAGCAGGGATCCCAGGGCTCGCTGCTTCTTACTTGCCTCTGACTGGGAGAGCTCCAGGCTCTGCAGGTCCCGCAAGTTTGGAGGCCTGTGGGCACTGAGGCAGTGGAGACAGTGAGGCCCTAAGGAACTGGCACATAATTTTTGTGTGTGCAAACATATAATGTTATAAATTCTCAAGTAATGAAATTAAAATGCCAACAGCAGTCTAGGTAAATAGCAAACATTGGCATACACTTTCTGCAGTTTTTGCTGAAAATTAAAGGATCAAATTAAAATCCTTAAAGAAGATACGGAAATCCTTCCTTAACTAAAACTTAGGAGTTTAAACAGCAGGAAAACAATAATTTTAATGTGGTGAGACATGCTTGTTGGTTTATTCTTCATTTTCTTGCCTCCACTTTCTCCCTCCTCTTGCTGTGGGTAACAATTACGTTCCCTCAGTTCTGGAGCCAACACTTGGGTTAAGCATTTGACGTCCAGACAAAGGGAAGTCCAGCCTTTCCTCACGCCCCACCGGAGTCCTTCAGGTAGAAAAACACTGTGTGAAATCGCTGTTTCTTTGTTCATTGGTTTCTTAGATTTTGCTTCCTCTTTCCTCTGTTTGTGGCAATAACCTGGGTCACTGATAACTGAATTTATAGTAAACCATAATTTCATCATTTCCAGAATGCTCAAGGTTCTTAAATATACTGACTTGAAATGGCTTTAAGCTAACTTAGTTCAAGCGTTATCAAAACTTTCACGGAATTTTAAGTCATCATTGTGCTTCGGTCCTAAATGTAGCTTAAGAAACAAAGAGAGCAGAGAAAGAGCACATCATGGAGCTCCATGTAGTTATTAACAGCTAAAGGTTACAAACAACATTACAAAAGTGTGAACCCTGTGAAATGTTGGCTTAAAACCAACCTTCGTAAGCAATTTTGGTTCAGTGAAAGGGAGAAGGAAGGAGAGTCATTCCCAGTTATTAAATGAAAGGTAATTACAAATACTTTCCAGCTAAATCTGTGAAATGTTTTTCACCTGACGGACACTTTTAGCCTTAAAAAAAATTAAAAAGTGGTAAAATGGGTGATAAAATAAAATCATGAAAGTTCGATTTTAATTCAAAAATTTAATGCCCCTAAATAAAATGAATTTGGTCAGATTAGGCAAGGTTTGTTGATTTTAGCTGAAAAGTGATTCTAGTTAATCCCTATGGTAATACAGCCACTGCCTCATTATACAAAGTGGAAATATAGCATAATGCATTTTAATCCATATAAATATTCAAACTCCTACAAAATGTTACAATGAGGTGATATTTTGTTTCATTATATTTGCTTTTTCAAGATAAAGTAATTATAGGGTTATCTGAGGTCATGTAAAGGTAATGTAATCAAGGTTTGGAACACAACTGTGTTATCATGAACATAATTGTGTTTTCTTGAAAATTAATTAGAATTTGTAAAGTTAAGACATTTGTTAAATATTTATTCACATATGCATGTGGATAGTGTTATATAATGATAATATTTGTTACCAAGTCTTAATATTAACTGAGTTAGATTTTATTATTTATTTGAATTAATAATGACTAAAATTACTGAGCATTTCTTACAGGTCAGACAACCTTCATAGTCCTTATGGACTTATTTAAACCACATCACAACCCCATGTGTAAGGCATAATCATCACCCCACAGGTGAAAATTCTGGACCTCAGGGTCAAAATTCAGACCACGTGCCACGTCAACACCTGTGCATGTCTGACTAGACACTGAGCAGAGAATGTAAGGCAAAGAAGACATATGGTATGATTTTAATTACTGTGAAGTTCAAAACCAAGCAAAACTAAACAATGTGATGTTTGGGGACACATATGTGGCTGAACTGTAGAGAAAAGCAAAAGCATGGTTCTCACTGAACTCAGGAGAGAAGGGGCAGGCACGGGGCATGGGGCTCTGGGCGGTATTTAGCTCTGAAACTGGAGGGAAGGTGAGTGGGCGTTTGCTCTAGTGTGGTTTAGAGGATGGTATCATGTACACTCAGTCAACACACGTCTCAGCTTCTTCCACAGCTTACACTCAGCTTCCACAGTGGAGGATGGCTAACCCGCCTAACAGTGCAGACCCGCAGCCGACCCCACAACTCCGCTCAGTCACTCCCTCAGTCCCCGCCCACTGCCTCACTGCCTCCGGAACAGGCAACCTAGAAACAGAATCGAGGTTTGCTTACCACCACGATGACACATGATCTTTTGACACATGATCAAAAGATAACGTGACAAAACTTAAGGGAAAATTGCCTACATCAAGAGAGGATTTTTTCTTTTCAGGTAGTTTGCATGGTGTCGAAACAACAGCAGCTGCGTGATCTGAAATCATG